CCTAAGTGAGCAGTATGTCAAAGGAATAGGAGTTTGTCCTGAGTATAGGCAGATGATATCCTCAGAGTAGGCTTGACAAAGATTCTGGAAGCCGTCATTGGCAGAGTATTTAAAAAAATTTTTTTTAATTAAAAAAATACTGAAAATATTAAAAATCACCTCAAACACACTACTTAAAAAATTTTATAAAGCAAAAGTCCCCTTCCAGCCAATCCAATCCCACCTCTAAAAGGTTTACAATTTGGCATGTATATTTCCCAGCTTTCCTTAATTTATTCAGATATATATATATATATATATATATATATATATATATGTGTGTGTGTATATATACACATATATATGTATATATATATATATGTGTGTGTATACACACACACACATATACCATATATATATATACAAATGTTTGTTTAAAAAACTGTATTCACATTATACAGTTGACCCTTGAAAAACATGGAGGTCCGAGGCACTGAACCCCCACACAGTCAGAAATCCACATCTAACTTTTGACTCCCCAGAAACTTAGTTGTCTCTCAGTATCTGTGGGAGATTGGTTCCAGGACCCATGCAGATGCTAAAGTATGGAGATGCTAAAGTCCCTTATATAAAATGGTGTAGATTAAGCATATAGTTGGCCCTCTGCTTCCGCAGACTCCCAACCATGAATTGAAAACAGTACAGGTATTTATTGAAAATAATCTGTGTACCAGTGGACCTGCATAGTTCCAACACATGTTGTTCAAAGATCAACAGTACATATTTCTTGTTTGTTTAACTTAATACAAAATCTTGGACATCATACAAGTCAGAATGTATTCATAGATATACCCCATTATTTTAATGGCTCTATAATGTTCCATTAAATGGATGTGCCATAAGTCATTCATCTATTCTCCTAATAATGGACACTTGGGTTGTATGCAATTTCTTTTTTTGTGTGACTTTGAGATACAATTCACATACTATAGAATTCACCCATTTAAAGTTTATAGTCATGGTTTGTAATATATTCAGTTGTACAATCATCACCACAATCAATTTTAGAACATTTTCATCAACCTCTAAAGAAACCTCATACACTTCAGCTATCACACCCAGCCCTAAGCAACCACTAATCCACTTTTTGTCTCTATATATTTGCCAATTCTGGACACTTCATATAAATGGAATCATATAATATATAATCTTTTGTGACTGTTATTGTATTTAGTATGTTTTTAGGGTTCTTCCATGTTTTAGCGTACTCATACATCAGTTTTCCTTCTGGGGGCGGCCAGTTAGCTCAGTTGGTTAGAGTGCAATGCTCACAGCATCAAGGTTGCTGATTTGATCCCCACACGGGCCACTGAGCAGTGCCCTCTACAACTAGATTGAAACAACTACTTGACTTGGAGCTGATGGGTCCTGGAAAAACACACTGTTCCCCCATTAAAAAAAAAAAAGCAGTGTTTGTTCCTTTTAGTTTTTGGAAGAGTTTGTGAAGAATTTGTAATAATTATTCTTTAATGTTTACTAGAATTCATCCAGGAAGCCATTTGAGCCTGGGCTTTTCTTCATAGTTACTTTTAAAAAATACTAATTAACCTCTTGTTATAGGTCTTTTCAGATCATTTTTTTCTTTTCCATTGGTTTCAGTAGTTTGTGTATTTTATTTATTGATATACAATTGTTCCTAGTGTTCCTTCATAATCCTTTTTATTCTTATAAGGTTGGTAGTAATGTTCCCCCCTTAATTTCTGATTCCAGTAATATGAGTTTTTTTCCTGGTCAATCTAGCAAAAGGTTTGTCACTTTCATTGCTCTTTTTATAGAATCAACTTTAGTTACCTTGACTTTACTATTTCTCTGTTCTCCAAGTCATTTATTAATTTAAAAATGAACTTCCTTCTGCTTGTTCTAGGTTTAGTTTGCTCTTTTTTTCCCCAGTGTCTTAAGGTGTAAAGTGAGGTTATTGATATGTGATTTCTTTAAAATGTAGGCATTTATTCTTATAATTTTCTCTCTGAACATTGATTTAGGTGCATCCCATAATCTTGGTTGTTGTGTTTTCATTTTCATTGATCTCAAAATACTTCCTGGTTTCCTGTGATTTCTGATTTGACCCACTGGGCATTTAAAAAGGTGTCTAATTCATATTTGTTAGTTTTCCAACTTTCTGTTGATTTCTAACTTTATTCCATGTGGTCAGAAAACATACTTTGCATGGTTTCAGTCCACTTAAACTTATTGAGGTTTGTTTTATGGGCTATCCTGCAGATGTTTCATGTGCACTTGAGAAGAATGTGTATCCTGCTCTTGTTGGGTGGTGTTCTATAGATTTCTTTGAAGTCTAGATAATTTAGCATTGTTCAAGTCTTCTAATTCCTTGTTTATATTCTGTCTAGTTGTTCCATCAATTATTGAAAATGGGGCACTGAATATCCCAACTCTTATTGTACACTTGTACATTTCTCTATTTAGTTCAGTTTTTCATTCATGTATTTTGGTGCTGTTATTAGGTGCATATATGTTTATAATTTTTTATCTTTCTTATGTTTTGATTCTTTAGCATTACAAGATGTTACTCTTTTTTTTAAGGATTTTTATTGGGGAATTGGGGGATGGGAACAGTGCTGGGGAATTAGGGGAAGGGGAACAGACAAGTTGCTGTCCTTTTGTTCTTCAGTCTAGTT